TTGTAACCTTTAATTGAAAAGTATAAGAAAAGAAGGAGAATGTACAGAACCAGTTCGAAAGGTCGAATGGAGTTTAAAAGAATAGAGAAAGTAAATACTATGACTGACGCTGGTGAACTAAGGAGGATAGGTAAATGTATATTTGGGAATAATTACTTTTTTTTTTTTTACAAAACATAATATTTACAATCTGTATTTACAAGTTATATAATAAGTAAATGTGATGGTGATTGATTTACAGGAGGGGGAAGTCACCCAGTGACGGCACCCCGTGGAAAGTGAATTAATGAGAGAGTAGGTCCCTACACCAGTTCCTTTTCAGACGCCTGTGTGGATTACCTGGAATTTTATTAGATGAAAATTGGATGCTTATAGGATTAGAGTRAGTACTGAATGTTTTATGTGTTTTTTTGTAGGTGATTTTGGCAAGGCTGTTTAAGGTCGGAATGTAGACGTCTTTATGACGTTTACTTATGCATGTTTATTATCATTGTCTATTTAAATATTTCATTACAACGTCCTTGCCCGCTTGCCGTCACCCAAAGATTTTTCTATTTTTAGAACGTATAATYTATTAATTTATAATCTATATAATTTTTTTCTATGACGTGAAGCCAAAAATTGTAAACAAATTCACGAGACCGRAACCTTGTCCCGCTGTCCCATATTTAAAGCTGCTTCTGATTTTACTGTTGCATTATAATATTATTGGCTCATCGGGTTCTATCTTTATTGTTACAGKGCAAAATGTTTTATCAAACGCTGAGCAGAAAAAAATCGTTCACGGCAGAAACTAAACAGGAAAGAGACAAGTTGAAACGAGTGTTGACCATTTTTGACTTAACCGCTTTGGGCATTGGCGCCACGTTAGGGAGTGGCGTGTATGTGTTGGCAGGGACGGTGGCTAAGTCTATCGCTGGACCAGCAGTGGTATTGTCCTTCATTGTAGCTGCTATCGTCTCATCGTTTGCTGGTATTGAGTCAATACCTTTCAATTTCGTTTCGTTTTCAGTGCTTATATAAAAATAATGATTTAATATTTAAAACGAGTTAAAATGTAAATGATATAATACGTATGTACATTTTACTATACTGAAAAGGTTTGAGGGGATTACCGATGTTTTTAGCAAAATAGCGTAATATTATATTACGCTATTTTACTAATATAGTAAATTAAAATTAAAATTAAAAAGCGTTTATAGTAAAAACCTATACGTGATCCAACGTACAGACTTTAGTTTTACTTTGATAAAAATGTTGAAAATACATATGAATTTATTATGAAGTTTTTAAAGTATTTAAATTATTAATGCAGGTCAGAATTATTTAAATTAAAAATAATTAAAAACGTATTTTAGTCCGTTGAAATTTCTGAAAATACGATATTTTTTCTGAACTTAAAGSGACATTTCTTTTTTAAGAATAATAATCATTAAATGGCCACTTCAAACAATCCTTCTATCTGAAATGTAGTAAACTTAATTAATTTTATAGTATTAATACAGCGCTACTATCAGAAAAATAGCCAATGATTGATTTTGAATTTTGAATTTCAGGAGTTTGTTATGCTGAATTCGCGGGCCGTGTACCCAAAGCAGGATCTGCTTATATTTACAGTTATGTGGCCGTCGGAGAATTTATCGCTTTTATTATTGGTTGGAACATGTTTATTGAGCACACGATAGGTATAGCTACATCAATTTTGACGACATCATATTTTGTCTAAACTAAAATTAAAACGATTTCATTTCATTTMAACATTTTAGTTATAACCACTTTAATCTGATAGTGACTTGTTTTATTATAATTATAGGTACAGCATCCGCCGCCAAAGCCATGACAAATTATTTAGATTCTCTGCTCGRTGATCCTCAAAAAAAGTACATGAAAGTACATTTTCCAATACACATGAAGTTTATGGGCGAATATCCGGACGTCGCATCGTTTRTGTTCCTCATGTTTATTGCATGTATTTATCAACATTTATTTATAGTATAAACCTTGATAATTTAAAGCTGTAATTATTAATCAATTCTGCCAAAATATATTAAAAATTATTTAGGAACTCAAGAAATAAAAAAGCGGGTAATTCGTGTATGTCGCTCTGCTGTACAGTAGGTTACAAGTGGGTTACTGTAATGGATGGAATTAAATTTGAATCCAATGATATTATATCATTATATACGAAAAACGATTCTGAGCGAAGACGGTTTATCTCATTATCTGTCTAGGATATATTATAGATTATTAAAAATTTTCAAATCTTAGATTTAAAAAGAAAAATTTTTATGAATTTCTAGTTTGAAATAATTTGCGATTTTTCGTGATTTTTACATATGTTGTCAAAATTCAAACTTTGAATGCTTATAAATAAGAATTGTGACTATGAATTTCTTTTATTTTTCAACTGCTATTGTAACAATATGTTAAGATCCTTGAATTAAATTTTCAAGCTTATATAATTTTGTGTTTAAAAAGTAAAATTGCATCAAAAGTCACTGATGGTGGAAGGGCTGGCTTTCTTCCACCCATGTTCACGATTGGTCACAATTAAAAATATAAAATGTAATTGATGTAAAATCACTTCAGACAACAATAGTTAACGATGACAATCAAAACGTTACTAAAATATAATATTATTTAGAAATTATTTGTATGATATCAATACAAGCATTAGTACATATGATTTAAATACGATAATGCTGATAATAAATTATAAATAAACGGTGCCTAAAATTATCCATCTATATTGTGTTTATTATTAGACGCATAATCGTATACACATTAGTAATAGTACCAACTTACTTATTAATAACAAGTACCGAGACAAAAATAATATAATGGAGTGTTTTTAATCAGGACAATATTTGTTGAATATAATTTATGATACTGGAGATATCTGCGTATAATAATAACATAAAAATGTCAACGGATCAGTAACTCAAACGTTTATCAATCTAAACGACTATACACCATGCATATGTAGGGTGGCCAGACGTTCGTATTGTACGGGAATGCATCGTACTTCAAACGTCTGTCTAGTGTCCAGTTGTCCCGACTCCCGACTCCCGACATAASYTYSGGRAWKSCMAAWT